CTATCTCTATCTCTCTCGCTATTTCCTCTCGCTGGTATGGTCTCTCGCTCTCTCTAAAAAAAAAAAAAAATAATAAAAATAAAATTATGTACAACACGTGGCGTATACACGCTCCTCTTTAAGTTTCATGAAAATAGGACAGGTCAATACACTCCGATAATAATTTAACATTTTCGGTACGAGAAATAATAATATTACGACCGTGATCTCGTTGTTGCCTGTCGGGTACAACACACGTGCCGTGCGTATACTATACACAGACAAAGGTAATTGATCGCATTGCGCACGTATTTTTTAGTGCGCCCGGCACGGACGTTCTTCGTTGTTTTCGTCGTTTATTGTAATAATATATGGTTTTTGCGATCGATCGTAAGTACCTACCTACATACGTATAATGTACGGCCCGTTTTATTCCTCGCCGCAGCAGCTGATATTCCTTAGTTGTTTTTTTTTCCGCATAAAAATCCCGCTATGTATTATTACATTATACCCGCGCAATCCGCACGTGGTAGGTCAGTTTTATTATACGGATCTGCGCGGAGAGCACCGTCGGCAACGGGAGGAGGGGAGTGGGAAGAAATCTGCAAAAAAAAAAAAAGAATAGTCTTCAATATGCGTTACATAGATGCGCGCGCGGACTATACAGTTTGGCGGTCTTCGGGTTTATTTTATTTTTTTTTTTTCCAAAAATACGAGGGGAAAGTATACCGAACGCCGCGCGTGATCTCTTGCGCGCACAGCATCCGTGAGTGTATTCCGATAGGCCAATGCCCCGCGTGTGCGCGCTTGAATAAAACAAGGTCTAACTAGACGGATGATGACGACGATGATATAGGTACTAGTAACAGTATAGTACCTATATATAATATACCCCACGTTACGCGTGCGTATACGAAACTATTATACGATGTTGTTTTTTTTCTCTCTATCGTTTTTAAACCGTCCAATATTGTCGCGTGTGTGTACGCAGACGCCGATAAAAATACGATATAATGCGAACCCGCGTTAAAAAAAAAAAAAAAATATCGAACGCTTACGCGCGATAACAGTCGCGCGCATCGCGTTTTAATAACAATATTAATTCAATAACGCGACCGTACGCCATTCCGTAATGAGATATATTATATCTTAAACATGTCGTATAATGACACTCTACAGCAATAATTAAAAATATGCGATGTATCATATCGCGTGTTTAAGTATATATGTATTTGTTGTAGATTCCGAGCGTAATAGAAGCTATTATAGTTTTTTTTTTTTTTTTAATTGGATAGGTATTGATATACGGTATAGTTTTAATATACGAGTATAATAATATTATGGAAGAAAAAATAAACTAAAATCGAACGTACAATTTCTCAATTTTCAAAACTCGAATTTATTTATTTATACCGCGATTTTTCAAAAGTCAAAGGGGCGAACGGAATTTTCAATTCGCGTGTAGGGTAACGGAATTATTGCGTATGAATAATGCAATAATATATAATATGATATAGATACGATTTCCAAAAAAAAATGTTTAATAATATTATATTGCAATCGATTATTTTTATTGCTATATAATACAATATATTATTATGATAATAAAATGAAAACTATGCGATTGAGTTGGTTAATGTTTAAAATTGAAAAAAAAATTACGATTACATCATAGCTGTTGTACAATGTAAATAATTCAATACTTATTTCAGATTAAATACCTAGTTAACAGTTGAAGAATACAAATATTATCTGCATAATAACCATACGTTTTAATAGGTCGCGTTGTACGCGCTTTATTACTCTTACGTTCGTCTACGTTTCTCGAGAATATATTTCAGACATATAAAAATTAATTCGTCGAAAAAATTTCAAAATTATTTTTTACCGTTTAACTTTATTATATCGAGACGGAACAAATGGAAATAGGTATATTAAAAATCGGAAACAGGAACAGAAAAAACCCAATAAAAATTGAGAATAATATTTCATTTTTTCTCTCTCAAAATATTATGGACATTAAAATAATATGTACGTCTATTTTGTTTACATAAATACCGTCACGTTATTATATCCTGTACAGTGCGCAGTATCTTTGTTTATACATGACTTTCGACAGAATACTTGTTTATATAACCGAGGATAGAGTTATTGAACTTAAAATGTATCTAGCTAACAAAAACAATAATACCGTAAGACGTGGGCACAAAGAGAATATTTCATTACGCCGGAAGAGAAACGGCACTAAGTTAAAGTTCCGGTCGAAATTACGCTGAAAATCGTCATTTTTCAGAAATAAAATGATTGGTTTAATTTTTTTTTTTTTTAAATAAAAAATTATTTTCACGCCGCCGGATAAAATACGACATTCTGCACTCCTAAGTTAGAAGTTGAATGGCAAAATAAATACGAGTACGTAAATTAAGTTGTTTATTCTTACACCTAAGCATTTTAAATTGTTGGATTTTTCTAGGAAAAATACATCGGATAAGCACTCCAGATCAAAAATCAGTACCTATTAATAATCATATAAGATTAATATCAATGTATTTTGATCGCCGACTGTCGTTCTAAAGATATAGACAGCAAAAATAATTAACAACTGCACGCGTTATTTTTATTTAAATGCAATTTATTAAATATTCGTAAAATTATTATACAATTTCAATCGCTAATTAAACATTTTCTTTGATTAAAAATGCTATTTGAATCAATTAAACAATAGATTAGGAATATTATATTTTTCATAATATTAATACATATTTTAAATCGAGTATCTAATCCTCTCTAGACATTTTTTACTTCTATAATTTTTAAAATAATAGTAATTATCCCTGTAATTATTTTTGCCCAAGAATAATGACTTCCTGTTAACTTGTTTACAACAACCACAAATGATATGGTTAAGGTTAACGACAACAATTGTTAGTAATTAATATAGTTATGATGGTTTTTCTTTTTTAATTTTATATTAAGGGTGAGGTTATGTATTAAAAAATACTGATATATAGACACAAATTCAATTTTAAACAGACAAATTTATTTAAAAATAGCGTATAAAAAAAAAAATGGAAAAAAAATAGCTGATACTGAAAATGGGTACGGCTACTGTTGTAGGTCGATAGTTGGAAAGGTAGAACACGTTGAGTTGTTTAGTTTGTACATGTAACCAACGATAAACCATTGCTAACAAAAAACGATTGGAGTTCGGTTAATAGCGTTGCATTGTAATATTATATTTACATATTTAAAAACTAGGCCGTAATATTTCATCAAAATTCGATATTAAAATTCTTAGAAAAAAAAACTACATTAAACTCAATTTTTTTTTTTACCACTATGCGTGACTTAAAATGACCTAACTTCCTATAAAATTGTATTGATAAATCCAGAGGATGTTCTAAATTAATTATCTCTTAAGCTAAGGAAAGTGCTAATAGGTTCATTATTATGACATTTTATCACACAAAAGTACCTAACCTAACCTAATCTATACAGTTATAAAGTACTATAATTATAGCACTTGAAAAAAATATATACAGTTTACACACGTCAAATGTAATCTAATGAAAAAATATTGACCCCTTATAAATTATGCTACTGTTTATATCCAATACGGTTTTCATCAATAACATTATTGGGATGATTTCAGAAACTGAGGAGAAATGTCGGTCGATTTTATATAGTCTTTGTACGGGGAAAAACAATTTTGAATCTATAGATAATATAAACCGTCATGCAGATTAATTAATCTAATCTATAGCAATAAATGTAAAAAATCCTGTAAATTATAAATTACCTGTACAATACATATTATAATATTGTATTGATACTTAAACCTTTTTTTTTTTTTAAAAAAACAACATTATTTCGGATTATTTGGCACAATGGCACGCATCAATTAAAAACTATAATATTAGCTAGGTGTATTTACTTAAATAACCGTCGTTAAATTGAAATTAGTAATAGAAAATCGATTGCACACGTCCGTTTTATAACCGTAAATAAATCGACCTATACGCCTATAATACTTGTTTTTTGATACTTAGGTATTATCAATGGATGTTAAGTTAAACGAAAACGTTATAAAAGTGTTTACGAAGTGCCCCGAAATAATAATTCTATTTAAAATATTATTATTGATTCCCCCCCTGGGTAGAACCGATATGGTATACCTGTGTATAACATCAATTTGACATTAAACAAAATGCTCGTATAGCGGTAATCACTGTACAAATTAAGCCCTAATCGAAACGATAAACAATTAAATACTATTTACGAAAAATGACTGTAAAATGCTTACTGAAATAATATACCCTTTAATAGCGAGTATCTACGTAAATGGGTCGCTATAATCGATATTATCCGTATAAAATACTCGCGCATTTTCGTTTAAAATATCATTTTAACATTGACTCGAAAAACGCTTTTAACCATAATACTATTGTTTAACGTCGGATTAAATCCATTCGACATAATAATATTATACACACCCATATTATAGTCGTCTGAAGGCGAAAATCACGATTTGTGGAAAAGGAAAAAAATATGGTCGTAAGTATATACCGTTTAAATAATATATCTGTTGCTTTTGTATTCGCAATATCACGTCGAATCCTCCTACCGATTATAATAGTTTCGCTCACGATCATCGTCTTCTTCGCCTTTATCCCACGCGGGTAGAGTCAGCTACCTTTGACATAGTGTTCCGCGTCTCGCTATCTGTCACACGTGTCACTCATATCTCCTCTATACAGACATATTTTTCTTTAACCCACCTCTTCCCCCCGGGCTTTCGTCTACACTGATCTCGCCTATCTTCTTGAAATCATCATTTCATCGTTTCTCCGTCTTTCAACATTTTAAATCCAACCCATATCAACCGTCATGTTAATCGGTTCTCTCTCGTTTTCCCCGCTATACCCGTAACTTCGTCAACATTTACAATATCATCGATTTTTACTCTTTTTTTTTTTTTTTTGTATTTTTTCTAGTTCAGAGGACTTAAGTTGATGTTATCCATGATTGCGTTGGCCGCTCACTCGTTGGCCGCGCCGTCCAACGCTAAATTCCCGTCGACGTCGCCGGTAAACGAAGCCGACGACCGTGCGACAGCGGACATATTGCGAGACACGCTCATCAACATAACCACAGCCCTGGTAATCGGCGGCGACGGCGGCGGTTCTTCTGCGAGTTTTCGGAAAGCGGAAATGCACCACAACGAACAGGTACACAACAAACCGCACCAGCAGCACCACCCCATTTCCTCGCTGATCCATCTCTTGCTGACCGTCGGCAGCGCGTTCGCCCCGTTGGTCGGTGCTATCGTCGGGCCATTACTGACCAACATCGCCAACGGAATCACTTGGGCAATATCGCACACGATCGCTTCCGGTATATATTAACATGCACTATACAATCGGTTTTATTTTATTGTTTTTTTTTTTTTTTATGCGTCGCAAAACCGTATTCACGATTCAATGCTTGATACACTCATCGTAGTGTACCATCCATTCCGCTGCATACACTACTTAATCGTTAAACTAATAATTAATAACAATATTATATTAGGTCTATAATGATTTTTTTCTTTTTCAATATATTCCGACGTTTCAGGATTTTCATCTCCCCACGGACTGTTCTCGCCCGAACTCGGCCACGGAGCCAATCACATGAAAGAACATCCGACTTCTTACGCGGCCGAAGGTCAACCCGAGACGGCTGCGGCGGCGCCCGTCGACACGTTCCAAGCGCAGCAACCCGCGGTCGGAGCGACAGTGGAACACGCTGAACCCGCGACGGTCGATGACACCGTCATAGACGAAGCAAAGAAAATAGGAGACAATCCGATACGTACCTGACGGCGACACAGTTTCTCTTCTCGTCTTTAAATTAGTTTTTATTTATTATAGCCATCGCATATACCTGTTGCTATGTAATATTATTACGATATATGTATATAGACAATATAAATATACACATCCGACTCCATAGCGAATTATCTCGAACACTTGTTTCAATAATATTATTATGTTTTGTTGTAGAAACATTTACGAAAAACATTCTTACAATGCCATAATATTTAATACTATAAAATAATATACAGTTCATCAGTGGTGTGCAGTGGCGGCGCGATAGGGTATTTCATGAGGCGATGACCTCATGATCAGTTGGGTGGTGGTACCCCCAGGCTAAAAATATGAATTATTGTCAACTGATACTTTATATTTAATACTTTATTGTTTAAATGAAAGTTTATGATATTTTAATACATAGGTTACCGTTTGAAAGTCAATATTAGGTATAGTGTGATTTTACTCCCAAAAATAAGGGTGAAAAAAAAAGGACATAATTGTACAATTTTAGAGCTACTTGTTTCTTAAATGTTCTATAAAACAAATTCCGAAGAAAACTTACAATGTCTGTGATAATGAGCGTACCCACTTAAGTGGAACACTCTGTACAATATACTTACTATTACTACATTCGTCCGAAATGCCAAGCAATATTATATACGAAAATACACAATCGCATTTTAACTATAGACATACATATTATGATATAGATATAAGTGTATTATACGCCCACACCGTATATTTGGACATTATTAAGAAACACCGTTATAAGTACCTCTAATACGGTGACCAATACGGGTCTTTGTGTATAGATTTACAACGAGTCGTTTATTGTGATAGAGTAAAAAAAAAAATGTATTTTAAAGAGTATAAATTATACAATATTATAATATCATATATTAGGTATACGACTTGTTGGCGGTTTTTTTTTTTTTATTTATTATACTCTGGCAGATAACAAATATTATTTTAGACTAAACCAGTAAGCAAAACCGGTATAAAACACCGTTGCTTATACGCTGCGCCGATGTGTATAATATTATACATTATAATAATTGCGGTATATTTTTAAATGTATTCAGGACGAATATTGTTAAATTCACAAGACATTGTAATAATATGTTTTTATTCAACTCGGATAGTATTTAAGTTTACTAAAAACAATAATAAAGTAAAAAAAAAAATATTTTAAAAGGTCAATACTCGTAAATAAATATAGAAATAATTTAATATAAAAACAAATTTATATAATAAAAAAATGTAATCCACAATATTTATTAGTTGTGTTTGTAACTAACATACTACATGTACGATTAACTATATTATATTATAAGTATAGTGCACAATTCGTTTCCATTTCAAAAATCATCATCCAAACAATTTTATTACTTTTTGTTTCCTTTTTTTTTTTTCATTTTTTTCAACAAATATTTAAATATTTCGATTTTTTTTCTTATGCCTTTATGAAATTTCTCTTATTATGATTTTTTTTTTCTTGCTTTAGTAACTATACACTTCTAAGTAAATAGCACATTCACTGTTGTTGTTATTATATTATACTTGATAAACAACTTAATGTATTACGTGAATAAAATATCATAATATGCTGTTATTATCTAATACGAAATAATTACGATCGAATTTTAATACCTACGAAATTATGTACGGATATGTATTTTTTAAATATTTATTGTTATACTACATAGGCGCAACTAGACCACCGTCTTTGGGGGGCTAAAATTATTTTGGATGCATCACAAACCCGTGGGATCTGTGGTGTGAATGGGGTCATCATCTCAATAATCCCCTATACATGACACTAATAATAATAATAATAATAATATTATTTATATTTAAATTAGATGTTTAATGTTAAACTGTAAAATTCGTTATCCTTATCGATGATTTTAAAAATATTACTTTACGTAGTATAGCGATATGAATAATCTGATATGAATGACCATAGGAATTTTATCATTATTGTTTACATATTTATAAAATATTTTTCTCAAATTTCTTATAAATTATATGTTTAAACATAATTCATATATATAAAAATTTTTATGTTGCGTGTCGATTTTAGCAATACGAAACAATTAATTTAATAAGTATAAACTCGGTTTGTAGTTTAAGAATAGATGGTTTTATTACAATTTATTAAAATCCAATTTACTATAACTAGAAATTACGTCTAAGTCCTATACTAGTGCGGTTTCTGAATACATCGCAAAATAAAATTTGGGGTCCGTAGAAACAGCAAATATTCAAAAATTAGCAGTTGCCGATGAATATATGATTTACGTTGATAAAAAAACAAAACGTAAATACATTATGGCACCTGATTTCTATCTTACTGTGTAATCCTAATTTATTTGTTTTGACTAGTTTGCAATCGAGAGAGAACGTTATCATAAGCATTTCCACAGTCTATTATTCTATATGAAACAATTGGTTCTATCAATCAGGGGTGTCCTTATGGCGGGGAATTGATCGCCCCACCCCGAGAGAAGTAGACTTACAATAGCATTCTACATATTCATTGGTACAAAAATAGATACAATCAATACATTATTTGACATCATTTTTTTCTTATCAATCATTAATATTAAATTTAATTTTTTCACTCCCCTCCTAATAGCCAAGGTCTGGCGACGCTCCTGCCTTATAAAAAGATAAGATAACAGTCAGACTGTTGAACAGTTAACGAAAACGGGAAAAAATTTTAAAACAATTTTATTCGGTAGAGTCAATTAATGGTTAATGTGTACTTTATTTTCCTGTCGAGCAAGTTATTGATAATTTATTAATTAAGTTACTAGGAGACGACGAAAGAGTTGAAATAGTTTGACGTTGTAGTTCTTGTGAGTATGAAGAAAAAAAAACTTATACTAGGGACGGGTGCAGTCACTGCTATAGGTAGGAAGTTGGGAAAGTAGGATACATAAAGTTCTTTAATTTATATCTGTACACAACGATAAATCATTGCTAACGAAAAACGATTCAAAGCGGAATTCGAAAAGACATATTTTGAAATATCTTGAAACGCTTAGGAAAAAAAAATTATTGCATAAACTCAAATTTATTTTGCAGACCACTAGCTACAAGTTACAACTTATAATGCACCTTTTGTTAAATTATCAATAATTTCCCTTAAACCATATATTTTTAATAACAGACACTTACCGAAAAAAAATACATACAAAAAACACGAAAACATTAAATACCTATAAATAACCAAAAAATAGCAAGAATGTTTTGAAAATTCTACCATGTCTACAAGAGACCAATATAAAACTCAAGTGCCGTAAAATTTACCGTATTTTCTACATTTTCCTCCGGTTTTTCATAATTATTAGAAAAAAATTCGGAAAATCAAACAACTGAAAACTATTCTTACTGAAAATTAGATAAAATTTCTTTTAGAAAATATGCTATTCTTGAAATTTAAACAGAGATTTCTGGTAGAAAAATATAACTCAACAGTTTTAAATAATGAATTCATTACGCCATAATTTAAAAAAATCTGGTTTTTCGTCTTTTTTGGCTTATCCCAATTGTTATGAAAACTACTTAAGATATTAAAAAATGACTTTCTCTGTCAAAGGTTAGATATTAATGGAATAAAGTAGATCTTTTGTCATTTTTCAACTAGTATAAAACATAGTTTGTAAAATTTAAAAACAATGAAATTAGGAAATCGTGGGGCTGCCGTTTCTTCGACTCCCCTCTATTTTGATTTAGGGATAAACTTCCCAGTTTTTGTGCACAAATGACCGGACTTCGTGCACAAACGATGCTCAAACGATTTGCCCAATCTTTGTCCGGTCTTTGAATATTCCGAACCGGAAGAGAGGGGAGGGCCCAAAAGTGAACTCCCTCCGATGTACCAATACTAGACGAATTAATGAACTTTTAGAAAATATGCCGACAATAGTCTACACGCTGCCGTCACTGACAACGAGTGTATAAACCACCGTGTAAATATAAGGCTGTAAAATCACTAATGTCCACTAATCGTGTCATCTCGTTACGACACGTACGTGTATTATTATAATAGTAGACAGGCAAAATTTCGGCAGTGTTTGTCTCGTAATTATATATAATACACATTAATAATAATAATAATAATAATATGTACTTATGCATATATTATACACGCGAGTATTGTAGTACGAGGTTCGTTGAAATTGTCATATTGTCGGTTACGGTTAATAATAATGTACTTGTCCGCATACCCTACAGTATGACGTACTGTACATAATAATATACCTGTCTGCACGTAGAGACAATTAATTCCATCATCAGGACAATACATTATATATATATATAGGTAACGCAAACATCTATCCCGGTGTACCAATATGTATTTACTAAACTGTCCTCATTTCCTCAATATAATATCGCGAAGCTCCGAAACCTAATAATATAATACGTATAATAATGATATTATTATTACTACATAATATGTAGTCCAAACGCGTTGAACGAGGTCATTTTTGCCGTTCGCAGCAATCAAAACCAATTATTCGTTAAAAAAGATAACGTTAAAGTATGTACTTGTACATAAATTACAATATCCGTTATACCCGCGTATAATAATGATAATACAGTTTACTCGTGGGGGTTTCGCCTCGTGGCTGCAGTACTCGCGCGCACGGTGATATTATGCAAGTGAATCGCAATCGCCGGGTACACGCGCCGTTCCGTAAACGTATAGAGAGGTATAACTCTCCGGTATAAAGAAACTGGTTTCGATAATATTACGGGCTGGACATCATCACGATTCGTACGAACGGCGAAAATAATTTAGGTAGAGGTAGGTACAGCAATACCCGACTGTCGCCGGCAACTCGGTCCAGTCCATATATATTATCAATCCGCGTATACTACGTTGCGCTGTTGTGAAAAAAAAAAAAAAAATAGAATAGAAATCATGAGGTGCTCGATATTTTTCGTAGTCGCTGTCACGGCGGCGCTTTTCGCGACCGCATCCGCGGCCAACAGGATTAAGAGATCTCCGGTAAGTCATTACAATGTACTTATAAAATATTGCGTATAATATCCGAGTAAGTAATATTAAAATACCTACATACATTATTCCGTGTATATTATAGCAGCCGTGTATATTATTTGTCATCGGCAGTGATTTTTTCCGAGCTTTATTTGATTTGTCCTTGTTTTTTTTTATGCAGTTGAAAGTTTCGGTTTACTACGAATCGCATTGCCCTGACAGCAAATATTTTATCAACAGTCAACTCCATCCATACTTCTGTAAAGTACGACAATACTTGAACTTGAACTTAGTACCCTTCGGCAAAGCCTCCGTAAGTATATATAATGCGATTATAATGTGTCATTTTAACTGCCGACATTACGTCTTCATTATCTCCACACCACTTGTAAATAAGTAAAATACAAAACAAGTCGATTAAAATTCAATTGAGACAAATCGCGTCTTATGTTTTTCAATTTATAATCAACAACTGTCCACTATACTCATGGTCTTCTTGATTTTATATTACAATTTCGAAAGAGCAGGGTACGGACACTCCATAATATTAGACGCTTAAACTCTCAAAACTGTTACATGCAATTTGGAAGTCCCCGATTAAAATCTTCCACATAGGTACAGGATAGGTGAGTCTTCACCATAATACACATGACAAAAAAACTATAAATGTTGCATAATTATGTGAATTTGCTTAGGTTTTCATATTATTTAATTCAATAATTAATTCTACGTCAATTTTGAAACATAAGAATCGTTCTATGCAGTAAGGCCATTAAGAAAATACCAATGTTTTAAAACGATTTAAATACATACGACCGTAAGTGATAAAACCTTATCACTTGATCAGTTTTTTTGATTGTACGTTCCATTTATATTTTTAATTATTATCAGATAGGTATTGTTTGAAAAAGTCACGTCTTGATTTCTTTCCATCAAATACCCGCTTTAAAATTACCTAAATGGTAAAGTATATTTGATTAAAATATGTTCACAAGATACTAACATTATACACTAAATCAGTTTAAAAAATGTTCATTAATCCGTTTTTTATGGTCAATGGGCTTATCACATAATAATATACAAACGGATATAATGGATATCCAGCTAAACCGTTTTAATAAATTTAAAAATGATTTAATTTCAAACCGTTTTAACGCCATTGTATAAACAAACTATAATAGACATTAAACGTTAAACGAAACCATCTTTATCAAGAACGATAAAGTGTATAATGGTTTATTATTATTATTGGTTTATATTGGTTATTATAAAACAATATTATTTTAAATAGAATTAAGAGGCCGCCGCAATCTCATTTATTGTCTCAGTCCAGCTACCGGACAACATGCAAAAATAATGCTTTCGCAGACTAAGTAAAACTAGCTTGATTTTGATTTTAGAGTAAAAATACCTATTATGAAATTTATAGAGAATAATATTTTGGAGGAAATCTCACATGTGTTTGGAATTATAAACTATTATAAAAGTTAAAGTTATTGAAAAAGCTCAAAATGAAAAAAAAAGGTTTTTATGGCTTTTATATTGAACTGTATATTCAGAATAACATAAAAAAATTAATGAGGTTCTCTCCAAAATATTATTTTTTATACATTTCATAATAGGTACTTTTACTCTTAAATCAAAATCAAGCTAGTTTTACTTAGTCTACGTAAGCATTAGTTTTGCTTATCCGGTAATTGGACTGAGACAATGGAAAAGGGTGTGGCGTCCTCTTAAGTCGATTAATAGACACCTAATGTTGGTACCTGTTATTATAATACACCTAGTCTTTAATTTTCATGATAAATGTAAAACTACTAAAAACTCTAATATCACTCTGGCGGGTAGATACTGTTTTCTATTTTACATGAATATTATTGCTATTTTTTTTTTAATTTCACGATTATTCAATAAATACTCATGACAATGACACAGAATATTTTTGAGACTATAAATTTTGCATAAACAGATTCATTCAAATTGCCTATGCACAAACCCTTAAATATTGGAAGTGTACAACTATACCACTGTGCATGACATTCACCTAAATACTTATAGGAAATTTTATCAATATTATAGTAAACAGAGTTTACATTTGGTACTATACGTTTTCAAATTAATAATAGTGTACCACAAACTTGAGTAAAGAAAGAAACTGCTAAACACAATGTATTTTACTTACCTACGCATTTTAACAATAAACTATGTACACGTACATGATTGACAAAACTAATACAAATATTATTACAGTCATTTTCTACGAGAAAACCAATAGTTCATTATTATTTCATTGACGTGTATGCTTATATTAATATTTATTTTTCAAATTTTGTATTTGTATGTATTAAGGCGGTTAAGGGTTGGATTTGTATGCGCAAAAATATGTAGAAATTGCAGATTAAGTTACACGAAAATAATATAAAACCAAATATCCATTTCCAGTAATATTGATTAGATAATATTTTAAAAATCAATCATATAATGTTATTATTTATCTTCTAAACTTAAACTTTAATATATACCGCATGCGTTCGATTTTTGATTAATAAATATACTCGTTTAATTAATATGGAAAAGTTGAATAAAAATATAATTTTTGTTTTTTACTAATAGGTGACGTTAAAGATTTTAACACATTATATCCTGACAATTAAATAAATAATTATTTATTATTAAAACGCAATGGACAAGTATTTTTTCGATCCAATTAGGTTATTAATTAAAAAAACATATTATTAGAAAATCAAAAACTTCACTTCAGATATTGGTGTAAATGTGTGATCGTTACCTCCAATTTATATATTACACTATATTTTTATATTGATAAATATTATCAACACACCTACTTGAATTTCGAAAGATAATTTTACAAAATAATAATTATTATTGTAATTATATAAATTAGTAGTAGGTATGGGTATCATGAAATAGTATTTATTATTATTTAAAACTATTATCTTAATAAATTATATTTACCAAAACGTTTTTTCTACTTTTATTTTAGCATGTATACACACGCACTTGAATATTATTTACATACTCAGTATATCTGTGTGCCGTAATTTCCATGGAGAGGTTTAGGTTGTATGATTATGTGACCATTCGTTATAATAAACATATTTATCTGCGATTAGTAAATTTCCAATTTAACTTCCTATACCTATACTACAATGTCCAAATTTTTTTTATTAAATCCAAATATATATATACAATTCAAAAACTAAGCAAAAGTGCTTAATGTCTCTGAAAAAAAAAATATAAAAATAAATTTCAAGTTAATAAATATTGTTTTGGTTTTAGAGCTTAAGGAATTTTTTTCCTTTCTTGAAAAATTTTAAAATTAGAACATCTACTATTTGTGCACTAAGCAATTTAACTAGAAACGTAAAATATTATAAATATCATTTTAAATACCATTCATTAAAATATGTACATTTTTTACTAAGATAATGGTATCTTAAAATCATAGGCGTACGCAAACATTACTGATAGGGTAGTTGTATGAATTAAAATACAAATTAATTAAAATCTGTGAATCTGTAATGGCAGATTTATATTTTATAAACTGCGATCAACCAGCGTTGTGTGGTCGGTGATAGCGATAGGTTAGCTTATTGAACCCTACATATTTTATGTTAGACCCATAGAGTAGTATGATAGTAACAAATTATTGGACCGCAGTTTATTTACAGTTCCATCCGATAGTCATATGAAGAATTGAATAAATGATACCAAAAATTGTTTTCCGATAATAAAAATGTTATCGCTTACCGTGTCGAAAATAATACGATTATTATGTCAATATTAAATACACGAAAAAAAAAAAAAAGTTCGCAGAGTATTCAATTGCCTACCCTGACTACCTCGTGCGCACGCTTATGCTTAAGATTCACAAGTACATTTTTTTAACCACAGAGTACGGGCGAAGGAGATTTTACTTGTCAACATGGTCCCAAAGAATGTCGGGGTAATACAATACATAACTGTGTGTTAAAACGTTTACAAGATCCGAAATCTCAAGTGGACTACGTGAATTGTGCATTTTACGATCCAGACCAACCAGGACTCATTGAAAAAACGGTAAATTTATGTTACAAATTTAAAACTATAATCGTATTTGACTAAAAATAAGTAAGTTACAATGAGCCTGTACTATTTAAAAAAGACTCTATGATATAGCTATATATGTACTTTATGTTATTAACTGATAATAGCAATAACTGAAAAAAGAGCTGATACCAGGGACAAGTGAGCCACTATTAGGTGAGAAGTTGGGAACGTAGGCTGCATTAAGTTATTTAATTTATATCTGTAAGCAACGATAAACTATTGCTAACAAAAAACGATTTGGAGCGAAGTTTAGTTACACCATGTTTTGAAAGGCCGTCCGTAGTATTTACAATTTTCGTAAAAATTTGATACTAAAACCACTAAGTATAACTTACAATAATAAACTCCTATTAGATTTATAAACATTTCTGTTTGGTCAAATAATTTAACCCACAGTGTATCTTTTAAATAAAAATTACATAAAAAACTCACAAAATTAAAATATCCATAAATATCTAAAAAACCGTTTAAATGTTTTTAAAATTTTACTCTATTTAAAAAAGGCAAATAAAAGTTTTCTATCAAAAATCATATCTTTATGAATATTTTTAACCGAGTCGCAACAAAAAAACAAAATTAAAAGTAATAAAATCATTATTTTCGTACATTTTCTAGTTCTTTTTACGTTTTTTTTTCAGTTTTGCTCAATTATATAAAAAAAACTTCAGGTCTAATCGTAATCGTCTAATCGTTCATACTCATCAACTAAATTAAAAATTCAACAAAAAAGATCTCTTCTCGTTTATTTATTGGAGAAATATTTCTGGTAAAACATCGTGCGTACAAATTTAAAATAATAAAATCGTACGCCATAAATTTGTTTGTTTTCATTTTTCGTCTTTTTTTGATTTTTATCAATTAGTATGAAAACTATTTGAAAAATTAAAAAATAACCTCTTTAGAATTTTCTTTCAGAAAAGGTCCGACAACTGATGCATCGGAGCAAGTTTTCTTTTCGAAAATATGTTTAGACAAAAAACAAAAAAAATTAAAGAAACACACTTTGTAAAACCAATAGATCCGTCTCTCTACTTTGGATTTGAAATTAATTATATTATTTACCGATTATAATGGTATTCATAAAATTATCAGTGACATAGAGTTTATTCCAAATAGGTTTATATAAAATCAAACGAGACGCGTTGATAAAATTATCGATTCAGGCTCACACAATTATATTATTAGGTGTAGGTATCTAATATAATTATTTTATCGATAAGTATTCAAAAATCATGTTTCTACATACTTACTAAAATAATAATGTTGTAAATTATACATATGTTTTACAACAACTTTCCGCGTATTTCAGTGTGTTGAACAAAGCGGTTTGGACGCACAAGACATAAATAAATGTTATGCTTCTGAAGAAGGTTATATGTTGATGTTGAATGCAGAAAACGAAACTAAAACCATGACACCCGGACCACTTTTTGTGCCTACTATTGTATTTGACGACGTACGTAATAATTTGTATATCTCACCGATTTTATTATTATTTATTTCGTATTCTTTCTTCAGAAATACAACGACGAAGACCAAAAAAACGCATTTCGAAACTTTGAATCGACGCTTTGTGAGAAACTTATCAAACATGGATACATAGAAGTATGCTCACACGGTGTGATCATAAATCCAGAAGTTTGTTAAGGAACTTATTGTATTATAGCTATGATAATACTATTGATTATTATAATGTACACGTATATAATTTAGATAAAAAATCGATTTTGTACATCAGTAAATTTATAGTATGTATTTTTTAAAATGCTAATTTCTTAAATAATCTATCCTCATGCTAAAAGAGACCTCTGTGTAATCTTTTTTATTATTATTATTGTATATTTTTTTTTTTTTTTGAGAAACATTACTTTTAATTTTAATATTATTTTAAAAATCAAAATCTTTACCAATATTATACAAATCCATTAAATCATAAAAACTGTAAAATTAATATTGTACTACTTTCCAATGTGACAATTTTTTCTAGTGTAACCTTATATAGTCCAGATTACTGCCTGATCAGTTTTTAATCCGAATCTTTCGGCTCATTTTCCAATTTACTCAGACTGACAAATAATGTTGTCCAAAAAAAAATGTACACATACACATAATCGATCATTATTTATACGAAAATAAAATAAATTCCTTAATTATCATAGTTTTTGATTTTTTAGTAATTTAGATAGATAAATAATGGCGTTTAACTGGTTCCCAAGTAACACAATGTAAAATATTAAATTCATTTTTTTGGTATAATCTAACTATCAAAAATTAGAACACTTTTAAACTTTTCATTATTTTTCCATCGTTGGACTTAGAGGAGCATTAAATGTCCATTTCGTATAATCTATAGGTTTGGTGACTTTTTGAGAGTTGGAGAATTGTTGAGGAAAACAATATTCCAAAATAAGAAAATAGTAGGAAAATACATCTCTGAAAAGAAAGCAAAATAGTTTTGGTTCATAAATAACGTCCAATAATATTCTTTAGTGCTCATAGAAATTTATAAAAAAAATAAAAAATAAAGTTAGAAATTTCAATTGTGAACCGGTAATTTCCCAATTTGCCGCCTCCTAGTTTGTCGACTACCAATTGGCCGACTCTCAATTACTGATTTCCAATTCGCTAACAGTCAGATTCACCTCGTTTTAATACAATTAATTTTCATGTAAATTTACATCACTAGTTATATCAATTAATATGTGTTTTATTTCGTAAAAACAATTAATAAAGTAAAAGTGGCATATATCATCATTCAAATAAGTGTCAACAAAACTTATTTAAAAATTATTAGAAATATTTATCTGAACCACATTTATATTTAACCTTATAATTGTATAAATTTCTATAATAATATTATCATCGTTATCGGCGAATTGAGATTTATTTAAAAACCATAAAAAAAAAAACCTGGTGCCGGCAAACTAGAAACAAATCTGTGAACCTGTGAATTTTCCAAAAATTTTATTTTAATAAACGTTTTAGAAAAAATGATGGATTTCCAAAAAAGAACCACAATTTTGTTTTCTAAATTGAAAATATCCATTGTTAGGTTAGGTTAAGTTAATTTTTAGTATTGTGAAACACAAATATTCCTCGATAAAAAATTTTGTATACAAGAATGTGTGAAAATGTATTTTAGAATTAACACCTATCAGTTTTTTTATTAAATATTTCATAATGGAAATACATACAATGATAACAATATAATAATAGTAACTTAATACTAACGTGGTGTAATGTTGTAAAAAAAAAAATGTGCTTTCGTACTAAAAGTATTATATTAAATTTACATTGCGCATCATTTTTTAAAGCGGAAAAGTTAGATTTGTTGTTAAAGGGATAGAAAGAACTCTGAAGTCTAGTATTACTAGGAATACGAAAATCAATTAATTTAAGGAGTCTCCGGGCATCGACTCGACCCTCGACCAGACCTTGAATGAAATTAGTACCAAGTTTATCCCGCCTAGCTGAAAGGGAATTTAGTTTAAGAGCTTACCTTATAGGCCTATAATCATGTTTTGGATGGGGGATATTGAGCCTTAACCAACGAAGTTCATTAAACAATTTTGTACACGATCAATCCGACAAATGTCAGCGGCGGTGTGTGGTGACCTGCAGACAACGGACCCATATTAAAGAACCGGATGGACTAAGATATTGTTGAGTGCCAGTAGGCAATTAAGCGAACAAAAATTAATTGAATGTCACCACATATTTCGCACCAAGGGTAAATCGCTGTACCAAACTACAATAATTGTAATCAGTATATAGGAAGTTTTTAAGGTATATAATATAAGGTAGTTTAGTTTATACAATAAAATAAATGATAGTTCATTGGAATCAAAATACGGTTCTTAACAAAATTTGGTAATCTGGTGAGTTTATAGTATTAGTCGTATTTGTTCACATTATGCATTTGGATACTTTTTTGGTACATTTGGATTTGTATAACCGAAAAAGTTTTTTCCAAGAAGAAACTTAAAACAAAAATGTAGGGGGTAAACTATTGAAAATTACAACTAAAGTACAACTGGCAGAAAATTTCCTCGGTATTACTATCACTATAATGTAGTGCTATATAAATAAATTGGCGTATTTAACTCACAAATAAAGTGTTTTTAAAAAAAATCTAAAAAGATAGTTTTAAAAAAAGTATTAGGAATTTTGGAAAAATCTTCAATTAAAGTGTTATATGAAAAATATGCATCATTTAAAGTACAGGTGGCATAAAAAGGCCAGAGTGTTTAATACAACGAATAGTTTTTATGATTTCCATCAAAATATGAGCACAAAACTGTTACACATAAAATTACTAAATTGCACTACGCTATTTATTTTTTATTAAAATGTAAAATATATAATGAACATCCTGTTAAATTTTCAAACATTTCTGTTTAGTCAAACTATTTTTTCCACTTAGTACCTACTTACCAAATAAAAACTACGTACAAAACTCGCAAATATAAAATACATATACCTAAACGGCCCAAAAATATTTTCAGAACATTTTGAAAAATTGATCACATCTAGGAAATGCAAACATAATTTTTCTGCCAAAATTTGAATTATCATGAAAAGTGCTTGATAAATAAAAAATTGCATACTTCCTCGCCAACTAGATTAAAAATGCAACAAAAAAAGTTTTCTTGTGGTTTTGTGATTGAAGCTAGATTTCTGGTAAAAAAGTTTTTTACAGACAGAGAAAAAACTCACATCATATAATAAAACTAATACAATCCTCACTACACTCCGAATCTAAACCCAAAATCGAAAATAATAAAATCGTTATTACCAAACATTTTCTACGTTTTCCTCGGGTGTTCTGAGTAATTGAGAAAACTATACGAAAAAAAAAAATGAATTCCCCATAAAATGTATAAAATTCGATTCCAAAAACGATAATACACTTGAAAATCGAAACAGTATTTCTGTTAGAAAAGTTCTGAAGACAGAAGAAAAGCACGCATCATTGATAAACCTGCAATAAATTTCTCGCTGCGCTCAGAATCTAAAATGTGTATTAAACGTGTAATTATAACGGTTTTCGAAACAAAGGTATACTTACCTATTTACTTTATACCATTATCGTTAAATATTAATTATAACATCATTGCAGGACGCAGCACGTGGAATCATATGTCAGATTGGGTGCCTAATTAAATTTACTCATTGCCGTTATAGCGTAATTGAGGATTTACGCGTGCATATCCGGTAAACGACCGACGGCGAAATCTTTAGATACCCACCAAATTCTGTAACCATATAGTTTAGGTACGACAATTATTAACGACGACGTATAATAATTTATAGTATAGTACGTGACATCGATAATAATTAATTGATATTTTCGAAAAATTCGGACAGCAAATCGATAACTAATTATTGTCAGCGACCGGTGTACACTCACGGAATAGTCTCAAAATATTTATAAACCAAAGACCACTGGCGTTAAGGCGTCATTCCATCGAGTCGAATCCATTTGGACATTTCGCGCTCGAAGTATAATCCGACTGCGGGACAAAAGGACACCGACAGAAAAATGGCTTCAGTAAGTACCTATACACACATACAATTCACGTAATATCATATCTATAGAGGTTCGGGCTGAAATTCATTCGATTCGTATATTAATAATCGTCGACGTTGAAAGTCTCGAATAGAACTTTCCAAACATAAAATTCGTTTATAGAGCGAAGAAAAACTAAAAAAAAAAATAAAATAGCTAACTTTATATCGACTTTATATTGCCGACGGCGCGAGTGTAGTTTTGCGAGTCCGAAGACACTTTAATTGTTTTTATGTTTTACAAGTGAGTGGGTGGCTGATTCAGTTGAGCAGATCGTGGGTGTGAGGTGCTTGAGATAGCATATGAATTGGTTTACGTTTAAATTTGTTTGCAATAGGCGTCGAAAGGCGAGTTAAATTAGCTCGATTCATTCAGCAATAACAATGCAACAATATATCGGAGGCGTGGGATCTTTTATCAAAAAACAAGTGGGCGAGCAAATTAGTGGGTAGTTCAAATAATCGTTTGTCGCAATCACGCACGTGAAAATTGTTCACTGAATCTGTATATAATGTTTCGCCGGCAATTTAGCTGATGGAAACATTAGACTCAAAATATATTACCGTCGTACTAATATTATTATTGTCGAAATTCTTTCCCGAAAATACAAAATAGAGACTATTGTGCCTTTTATAATACATGTTATAATCTTTCACCGTTACTTTTGGACATTTTTAGAGGCTTCTAATTGATCAAACTCGGGTTAAAACTCGGGAATTAGAATCGGTTTATAGGCGAATATTGAAGTGATACGATTTCGGTTGAATTTCACCGTGTTGTTGCGAGAGACGGGCGTTTTTTAGTTTTATACGTTCCTACAGACTCCCTCCGAAACGAAGCCGGAAAAATTTAATTTTGTGTATATGCACGTTGTAAATATATATAAAGGATGTGTATTTCGGGGGTTTCGACTTTCATTTAGGCTCGAATCACACGTTTTCGCGAGAAATATCGTGGGTGTTAAACACACCCAAGGGGCTAAAATGTGATGAAACTCTGGTGACCATACCTGTTTTCGATTAATTATACATAAACAAAAAAAATGAAATATTGTAAAAGACGACCGGTCGACCGGAGAAAAATTCGACCATTTCGGTGACAAAATGACTCTGCTGCGCGCGGGCATTTTTAATGTTTTTACACCTGGCACTTTTAACAGAGAAATCTAATGATTGACCGGATTTCAGATATCAGTCGCAGCGTTATTGGCGATATTGGCGTTGGTCGGTGTTACGTCGGCTCGTCCCGGGGGCACCGACGGCGCGACAGCGGACGGCAACGGCCACGGCCGCGTTCAGCTGCAGCAGCCGGACCATACGGCGCTCGAAGAAGTGGCGATACCTCTGTACAGGGCCGCGGACACCAAATCGCCGCACAAGGAACACAGTGGCGGCGGAAAACTATCCATCGTCCATCTGATAATGATCATCGGCAAAGTGATCGCTCCGCTGGTAGGCGCCATCGTCGAGCCGCTGCTGATCAACATCGTCAAAGGCATCACGTGGGCGATAACATATTCGTTGGCTTCTGGTAAATAAAATAATAATTCGACATAAGTATAATAAACCTAAATAGTGCAAATTGGAATTCGAAAACCACCGAAAGTCAACAGAACGCTTCTCGAAAACCGATTGCGTGCAAGTTTAAGTACGAATATTATTCATGTATACGATTCGGTTGACGCAGCGCGTAATATAGAAACAACATTTTGATGCATTTTTTACGTTTGTTTTGCTTTTGTATCCTCTACGACGTAAAATTTTACATTAATTTTTTTTCGCCCTTGTTTTAGGGGATAAAACCACTACCTAATTTTGGTTTTCAAATGACAATCTATACAGGGGGGGAGGGAAATGCCATAAATAGATGGAGTGTGTTGGTTTAAATCAATTTTGGTGTTGACAATTTTTAATTTCCGTCAACCCGTTGACGAGATATTCCACTTTGAAGTTTAGGCGGGCAGAGTGTAATATAGTGGCGCATCATATGGACGCGCGGAGTTTTAAATAAAAATACCTATAAGTAAAAAATAGGAAATAGTAAACAATTTGTGTACAATTCAATGTATTATAACACTGATTATTTTATATCATTCAATATACCATAGCACTTTCTAATCACGTTTTTATTTTGAAAATATTTAAAATCTTCCGAGTTTTTTTCCGTTTGTATGGACGGCAATAAATACAGTCAACTCGAATTCAAACTTTTGATAATTCGAAACTTTCGGTAATTGGAAGTAAATGCTCGTTCTCTTGAAAATTTCGCGGTAATTCGAATAAAAACAATTCATTTAAGTAAGTAAGACTCTGTAATTCGAAATTAAATTTTAGGAAAACTGGCCATTAAAACGTAACAATTCGAAGTTTCATCCGTTCAACGCCAAGAAATTTGAAGTTTATTCACCGAATGTATTTCTAATAATCTTTTCGTTAATTTATTATTATTTTCGATAACTATAAAATTATTATCATATAAGTACTTTATCGTAAACATTTTATTTCTTAATCGTCTCTCTTATCGTATTTTAACTCGTTAAAAGCCAATAAATACTGTAATACCGCCTAATTTGCTGAAATATTTAATAATTATAATAAAAAACTAACATTTTTTCAAAATTCAGTAATTCTAATTTTTTTTTTTTGCTCTTTCGATATTTCGAACTACTCAGCAAATCGAAATCTCGGTATTTCGAAATATTTCATAATTCCTGCCAACTTCAAATTATCGAGCGTCGACTGTATTACCGTTTATTTTTGTCAACGCGTTATGTTAAAATTCGTTAAAAATACAAACAATTGTAATTTAGTATACAATAAAAAAAAAAAACATACAATTTTCAATTGGAATTAGTCAACCTAACGGCAGCGGTCCTCCAGCAATGTGAAGTACCTACGCCCTACATTGTGGCTTTTCAAATTTGTGTATACTTAAGGATTTACCCCGATAATTATTGTTGATGTTTGCTCTAAAATTCTGTGGCGGCTTGTACCCTTTTTTACCACCTCACTTATAGGTATATACGATTAGAAAGTTATGGCGGCTGGCTCTACAATTTGTCATTTCAATAGTTCCAGCCACACGCCTAAAATTCCATCGGGTTTCGTTACCGAATTTTCGAACCATCATCAAAACAGAGACGGATTCAGGGGGCCTAGGAGCCCAAGCTCCCCTCTATACATATTATTTTTCCGATTTTTTTTTTTTTTATAATTCTCTATAGATCCTGATATTACTACATTCCAATCACAGATATGTATGATAATACAATAATATATTATACTATGTATTGTAATTGTATTTTTGTTGTAAATAAATTGTTGCCCCCCCCCCTCAGATCTTTGCTCTGTATCGATACATTTTTTATAGGGGTAAATCAAAATTTTATCATGTTATATAATTATATTATAGAGATAAACTATAATATATTATGATGTAACCTTTACCGCGGTTGTAAAGTGTCTACGTATTTATCCGTGTTACATAAATTAAATATTTCGTACGATTGGCACAATATTATCGAATAATACGGTTGGGCAATTTTAGAAAGTTTAAATAATCGTACGTCTTATAATATCGCCGCTATAGGTACCTAGTCCTCTCCCGCCACACAGTGATTGTATAATTACTAGCTATATTTAAATTATTATACTGCATCTTTTGTACAAGAGGGCCGTAATATAGGAATCGAACATTTTTCAATTTTAAAATTTCGGTGTCCCTGAACTCTTGCTATTTTTTTTTTTATACAGTGGTGCGATCTATGTAGTTATATATTATTTAATTGTCGGTTAATGAAATAAACTTATTGTGCACATTGATAGCAGGTACCTAGCTGAGAACAATAAAGCCGTAAAACGAAACGCGACCTTCTATAACACTAATATACGAATATTTCTTGATAACGTGAATGGACGTCGTGGAACGATTTAGCCATAACATAATTCGGCCTTCTTGCATTAAAACATTTTTATAACATTAACAAATCCGTATTGTCAGTGAAACAACGTCATACCGGTTAGAAAATAATGTTGTCTTGAACAATTTAGATACTATATTTAATATACAGCCTTCTTGAACTGAGAATGCGATATACAGAGTGAAAATAAAGGATATAATCTTTCATATGATATCCGTACTCAGTAGTCAGCATACTTATAACCTATACTTTAAAGGTGGTATTTTCTTTTTTTTTAAACTCAAAAATTTACGTCTTTAAGTTATAACTGAACAAGTTTTTCTGTTAAGTAAAAATGACTACCACGATGAAAACGGGTGAACAATTTTAATATGAAATGATATGTGACATAAATCGTGTGCATAAAAAAATTTAAAAAAATCGTTTGATTATATCTGCATTGAGTTAGTATGTAAATATAGATCTACAAGTAAGCGAAATTAATAGGTACCAAGTAATGTATAATGTTTATTTATTTCATGTAATTAAAAATAATCGCAATGCAGATATCGTCAAACGATTGGCTAAGAAATTGTACCCTAAATTGATGCGTCACACAATTTGTAGTAAATTTATCACCGTCAATCACCATTAACCATGACTAATTACTAAAAGGTGCTAAAACGGTGTCACATATTTATTTCAGAATCAAAATTGTTCACCCTTCTTCGTGGTGATAATCGTTTTTAATTTGCAGAAAAACTCGTTCACTCCGGTCCACACAACAAAGTCGGTCTCATCACACACTTGTAAAACGCTTACCTTTAAGTCTCATTGGAACACATATCGTATTGTCACATAACACACCTGACGCTTTTCTCCGCTTTATCCAACCCCGCTTAACGCTCATCCTACGTTTCACGCCCTCGTCAAAGCCACCGTTCTATTATACAAAGGTCCCAAGTACGTAAAAAATTAAAACTTAAAATCTCGTCTATTGTACATTATGACTAAGTAATGTAAGATAATAATAATACATTCATTCGTACGTTTTACTCGGCGCACAATCGAATCCCAACTGAATAACTATAATATTTGATATTGGTCAATAGACATCGAACGATAAACAATTGCAGTCGGATGAAGTTATTATTATTGAATCTCATCTTTTGTACGTTTTAATATTATTGTATGTCCAATAAACATTCGAGTACCGGTGGGTCAGTCACATTTCTCGTTGCATTTTGTGAATTTAGTTGGTAACGTCGAAAATATTACTGCTGGAACAATGGTACCTACTCGGTTTCGTATCTTTTTTTTTTAAATTATTGTTACAGCATTTATTCAAACAGCGTCCAAATAACTATTCACTAACGGTGAACATGTTATATTATATCCATTCAGAGGCTGATGTAAAAAATAGCCGGTTAACGTACGCAAATATAATACTATAATGCATTTCAAGTATCCACTTTATATATTAAATATTACGTATGACTAATATGACTAGGTATGGCACTAATGTGCACATTAGTCACATTTCGGACTTAGGTCGGTATTAACACACAGACGTTTAATTCGCAGGGTTCGATAAACCGCCGAGCTACGAACACTTCGTACCGGCGTTGATACACCACGGCGGCGGCGGCGCCATCAACGGCATAATCAATGGCGTTAGCGGAGGGAACGGGGGTGGCGGCGGCGGCGGCGGCGGCGGCGATGACGACGACGACTACGATAACGGCGGCAGTGTAGGCGGCGGCGACGAATACGAATCGCACAAGCCGGTCGCTTATTCGCTGAAACAGTTACCGGAACTGGCGCTACAGCTGACCAGTACCGTTCTCTCAGAGTCCAGTCGACCGGACCGGGAACAGGCCGTGGAGAACGCCGAGAGAAACCTCGCGGGACTTCTGGCCCAGCGCCAACGGGGCGAACCAGTACTGCGGCGATAACGACGGGGCGATCGCGTGATCCAAAGAGGTCCGCGTGAAATCTGTGGAGGGGGAGGGGAGTTAGTGACGTTCAATCCACCGGGAAGTCGAAATTGCCTAGATAATATTTTAAGCATTGTATAAATAATTATCTATTAATAATAATTTATTCTAATATAATTTATCTACTGGAATACATTAAAAACAATAATAATAAATACATGCGCATTACGTACAGAAAAACCACGGGGTCATGCTGTCCCCACGTTTCACTCCATACACCCAAAGAATGCCCGCGTGATGTGACCCGTTCTTCGGCACGATGACGCGATTAATTTATTGCGTCTTGTTTTTAGACTCATTCCACAGCGGTACAACGAAAATAACCCTAGAAAAAATATATGTCATGTATTATGTTTACTTATCCGTAATTTATATTGCGACATATGTATAATCTGATATAATTATTTATTATATTCATGTACCTACGAAATAACATTCGATATTATAATATTATATTACAAATAATTGTATATTGGAAATAAAAATTTCAAAAAACGTTTACAGAAATAACACCTACTTGGATGTTTTTTTGTTTTTTCGTCAAACTCAATCGAGTATCAGCTCTTTTTTTTTATTATTATTTTCTTTAAGTATCGACATTAAATAGGTAGATAATTACTATTAAAAGTGGAATTAAGAATTAATATTTCTATGAAATAAACCGTGTACCTACCTAACACAGACAACTATACAAGTAGATAAGATTATTTGAAAAGAGGTATACGTTATTTTCACAGAATACTCTAAGATAATGCAAATATAGCCATATATTGATAGATATAGATTATATGTATATCGTATATATGTGTAGACTAGAACCCCGACTCGGATTGTGTACTTTGCCCCCATTTTGGTTAATCGGGTGTTGCAACCTGTTGGTAATTTATTGGACATTTTTTTATTAATTCCTTAAGTACTTTAGAAAAAAAAAAATGATTCGATTTTCCCACCTAGTACCAACTTACTTAAAAATATGTGGAATTTCCACTCTGTGGTATAATAAGCACCAAAGTACTTGAACATTCTAGATGCCTAAGTTTCTTCAAACAAATAAACGTTGAATATAGTAAAATCGAAAAAAGAAGAATTTATGCGACTGTGGAATGTTGTCCATTAAAAATCAAAATTAAGTAGTCGTTTTACACCCGTACATGAAGTTGACGCTCTAGACGCTTAATTCTCTCATCTTTAAGTCTTGTAATGTTCTTGTTCGTAATCAGGTTCACCATAATTTCGTACAAGACCGCAATATACGTTAACTCCATCACCTTCTTGAGTAAATTGACAAATATTCCTTGCAAATAAGCTATGTACAGAATTCAGAGCGTTATATAGCTCTTACCTAGAGGAAAACAAAATAGAAAATTAAAATATCTGGTTTCAACAAAACGGTGGCGTTGCATACACAACGAGAATCTCAATGAATCTCATCCGTTTAACATTTCCCGGATATTTGGTCTCTCGGTGACGTATGGTGACGTTCCTTGGCCATCCTGGTCGCCCTGCGACTTCTACCTTTGGGAGTATCTAAAATAAAAAGTTTATGTCAACTAGCCACGAACCCTTCCCGATTTAATTAACGCGATTAGAAGAGGAATTGCATCAATTCCGGTGGAAATATTGGAGAAAGAGTGATGAAAAACTTTGGCGAGCGTCTCCAAGAATACATCTTCGTGTACGGACGCCATATACCAGACATTATGTTTCACACTTAATTTTTTTCATATCCAATAAAAATTCCCTACATTTGCAACAACTTGTTATCTATTTCATCTCTCTATTTTAAAAATTTAAATTATGGCGTCAGTTTCAAATGTGGTATTTCATTATCCGCACCCTGTACATCTTTATTGATTATAAACACGAAAGAATATTATAAATACAAATAATAGAAAACAAATTAGTTAGACAACTACAGTAGTCGTTATTTAACTGTATTGCAATCCGTAGGTACTGCTATTTGTTGATAATTACGGCTTACATTGTGAAGATTACAGTTTGAAAAAAATATCATCCAACTAAATATTAGTTTGTACTTTAGAAGCGAAGACAAATCAATTCTTAATGTTGGGCTTCGGTACTATTCGATACGGCACGACGCCGGGAGTCCAGGGGGAGGGTGGGTCGGTTAAGGGCCAAAACCTTCCAAAATTTCTTCTTTCATTGCATTTTAGATTCTGAATGGAGTGAAGAAGCTTATGGTTTTATAAAGATGGACAACTTTCTATACCAGAGATATATACTCAGATATTTAGGTGTAGCAAGAAATGTGACTATTATCAAAATGTTGTAGTGGTTTCCGATAATTAATAATACTAGTAACCGAATGTGATAACAATTTTTGCCGCCATCACTTGTCTGGTTATAAATAAATATTTTTTTTGTAATCACTTTTTTTGCATATGTATATATATATATATAACCTAGCATATGTTAACTTTTGCCCAAAGTAGGTTAAAGGACAAATCCATATGAATATTTGGAAGTGGGTTAAAGGTACCCTGTTGCCAGGTACTTTAGCCCATTTTTTATGGTAAAAAGTTAAAAATTAGATTTCGCAGAAAACATGTCTGACCGAGCCCACACATTGTTGTCAAAATTTTTTTATTTTAATTTTATGTACAACCTAGTTAAATGAAGCCCTAAAGTTGACAAAAATACAAAAGTGGGATGTTGCCCGGCTTTATGGTATAAGTTGAAAAAAAAAAGGAAAACTTCTTTTTCTTGTGATGAACTTTTCTACCAGCAAATTTGATTTATAACGATAGCAATTTTTCTAAAGGAAATCTGACTGCGGCGGTAGTTGAAGCAAATAATTTTTCGATTTTCCGTTTTCTCATAAAATGTGAAAAATCAGGAAAAACAAACTTATAACATTAAAAAAATAGAAGAAAATATCAAATACCTATTTAATTATTTTACCATAATATGACATATTATATATTGTTGATAGAAGCATCACTATAAAAATAAAAAAATAAATAAATGAATAAATATGTTACCTGGAGCACTATAAGTGTATTATACAACCAGTTTCGAATTAAATATCCATCAGGTATATCAGTCAAAATGTATAATGCGAGTCACTTATTATTATATACTATATTATTATAATATTATAAATTATATATTATTATACATACACTATTATTATCATAATAATCCAGACGCATTCATTGATTTATTTTTTATTTATACATTTATTACTATATTTATAGTTTTGTTAAAGAATATATATTAGCTAATATAGATTTTTTTTTTTTTAATGTAGGTCTCAAATTATCTAAAATTAACATAATAATAGTCAATTACCTTACGTAGATCTTAAATTCAATAATCTATGACCGTTTTGAATTCAAAATGTTTTAGATTTATGTGTATTCATAAGTATTATATAAAAATAACATAGTTATATGAATTTTAATCACTTAATATTTGGTATAATGGCAACAATCAGATTTTTTGATTGAACATAATATGTTTTGCTCCTATTTTTAAAAGTTTAAAATCATTATTATTTGGCTTAGAAAAAAACTGATGTATAATTTTATTTATAATATATATATATATATACATATTTTGATACCTAGTTTGATAGTTAATATTACGCAAATATACTTGTATTCATATAGTTACAAATACTTTGTTAAAAAAATAAAATTTCTTAAGAATGTTCCACAATGCATAAATGGATATTTTAGTATTTACCATTCACTTATCATGCTTTAACTAATGTCTCATCATATATAATTGAAGTTCTTTCAAAAAAGAAATTATCTTCATTTGCATTCAACTAATTCTTAACAGTATTTTAATATCATTCAGGTTCCCAATCAAATCTTAAGTTTATTCATTCCATTTTTATAATCTTAACATACATAACAATAGGTAATTAGTCATTGATAAAATAAAAACGTCATGTTATATGAATAAATTTAACACAATGTTTATTGTAATAAAAACCACCGTGACAGTCAGGTGGAATTTTATTATATTCAAACTTAATCAGTACAAATTGTCCATTCAGTTTAACAATATTACAATCAGTTTGGGAACAATACAAATTATGAAATTTCAATGATAGACAAGCAAATAGTTATAACTTATAATTCATAATAAAAACATCAATGATATTATTTCTTACTATAGAACAAATAGTATTACTTTACCTAAGTTACATATGTATTCTTAATTATACATTGTAGAGTCACAAGAAAGTGTATGTACATTGTAATTATCAAAATGTACAAATAACTTAATTAAAATATATATTAACAAGAAATAAATACTGCTAATATCCATTAATTTGCATACACAAGATTAATTAAAAACTAATAAACAAATGGTTGAAAAAAAAAAAAGGAACTTGTAACTCTATAATTGACATGTCTGGTAGAGGTATTTCTAAACATTCATGTAGATTTAACTAACAAAAATGATTAAAATACCAAGAAAAGTGAAATTATGTTGAATATCAGGTTTTCAGATAGATAAAATATTATTTTTGGAATAAAAAAGTAAATTTTAAGTAATTTATAAGTATTAAGTTTTTTTTTATTATTTATGAAATGTCTAAAATTTAGGAAGTTTAAGGCAGTGACCATTTTTCCCAAGGAAATTTGTTTTCTGAGTTATTTTTTTTAAAAATAATTTAGAATTTGGATAGTCAAACATGCCTAATAATTTATAAATTTAATGGAATACACAATTCGAGATCAAAAAAATACACACATTAACAATATTAAGACGTGGATATTAATTTTAACTTTTAGGTGCTGGTAAATAGTTGAAAATTTAAATTTAAAAAAAATATTTTAGAAGTTAATTTGAGAAAATATTATAAAAAAAAGTGTATTTATACCATATTTGTAGTAATAAAAATAGGAATGAATGATCCTCTATTATTTACACAGATCTTAAATTAGCTTAACAAAATAATATGGGATAAATAAGATTAATAATCTGATAAATCAGATTTAAAAAGATACTGCCAAATTTAGATACTATTATTACTAAATAATAAAATAATGAAATGAACTATGAACTAACTAAAACTTTGAGCATATTAACATTTAAAACGTAACACATAAGTTTAACAGTTGCCCTGTTTTTATACACAAACATATTTTTGAGCAATATTTAAAAATTATTATATAGGTAGGTAATGGTTAAAAAAAAAAAGGTAAGGAAAAACATACATTTAACTTATTGATATAAACAAGAAAATTGTACTAACATTTTTAGTGTAACATAAATGGACTTTCCATTTTTATTTGGCATACTTATGTCCAATAAATTACAACATTAAAATTAAATTGTAAGAAATTCTAAATTAAATAAAAATATATAAAGATGTGTCAAACAAATAACTAAATTGGTAATATATTATCAACATATTGGTATTGCTAAAATATCAATCTGCTACTGAACCATAATGCATATTATGCATATAATAACAATTAATATTGGTAGTTGGATACTTAACTGAAAATCAAAACATAAAAAAATTATTTTAATAATAAATAATATTAATTAATTAATTTAGTTGTGGTATTTTTTAATAAATTATTTCTTACAATTATTCCTTTTTTCAAATACATTTAGTATTTGAATAGATTTGATACATATTGAATATATATATAAAAAAAATAGTTTTGGAAATAACATTAATCAATATAATTCGGTATCAAAACCATTTTTTTTAAATTGTTTGTATATATTTTTATAAGTACAATTTTTTATACAAATAAGATTACTATTAATGATAACATTAGGAATTTTAATTTAAAAATAAGTGTTATGAAATTCTATAAATAGTGAAAAATATATACCAATTAAAGATTACTAATACTAATCCAGTGGTTTTCAAACTTTATTTGACTGCGGTACACTTTGTTTTTCACTGCACACTGTGACTTTTTTTTTTATTATTGTTTAATTTTTTGTACAAAATTGATGAGTCATATTCAAAAGAGGTAAGACTTCATACTTAATGAGCGGATTATCGTAACTGGCAGTTACAATGGTAAGGAAAACAAATTTGAAAAGACCGCAGCACACCTAGTAAATACCCAGTTTAAAAACCACTGTACTAATCATACAAACTAATAATACATTTACACATTTTTAGTACTAAAATCAAAATCTACAGGTTTAATAAATCAAAGTACATAATAATAAGCATAAATAACTTACATAATGATTAAAATGGAATACCTCGCAAGGCAACATCAGCTAATGTTTGCAAGTTTACATCAGTATTTGACAAAGTAGAACCTAATAAATATAAAAGTCAAAAGTCAATAAATATTAGAATATTGAATTCAAACTAGTATACTCACTTAATAAACCAATTTGACTTTCGGCAAATGTTCGTGATACACGTTTTTTATAGTGTACATGAGTAGAACTGTTACTGCTACTGGATTCTGGACTTGATAATCTACTGGAACTTGTTTCTGAAGATAATGGTGAAGGCAGTCTTTTTGGTTCTTCAGAAGTTTTGCATTGGTTATCATTTTCACTAAAAATAAATAAAAATAAATACATAGGTAATTAAATAAATAACAAAAATAGTACATACTTGGTTCTGAAACGTTTTTTAGGAAGTACCATAATAGAAGTAGAATTAAGGTCTTTACTGACATCAGGACTAAATTTAAAAAAATATATACATGTAATTCAATATTATACAAATTATGTATTCAGTGTAAACAAATAACATACACAAATTTTCTTTTATTATCTTCAACCATTTCATCAGAGCTTTCTTTTTGTTTGAGCAGTGCAGCTGCCTTTGCACTATTTCTAGTTTCCCGACGAGATTGATTTGGTAATGAATTTATTTCAGTAACTTGATTCATTTCTTCTTTTATGTCACATTTTTTACCTTTACGACGTTTTGCTACAGTCTCAGTAGTACTCAATAATTTTTTTGGTCCCCTAAAAAAAAAAAATAATAATAATAAATAAAATAGGAAGATAAACAAGATTAAAAACGTTTTTATATATAATTACAGTTTTTTATTTTGGCGTTTTGATAATGTATCATTCATAAACTGTTGGTAACGAACTCCTTTGCAAGCTCTATTTCTTTTTCCTCTAGATTCATTTACTTCACTTACTTCAATTTGTTCACTTATAGTTTCAGGTACCTGTTCAATCACTGGAGGAGTTTCTATTACATTTGAATCATTTGAGTCTTCTTCAATACGTCTTAAAGTGAATTTTTTGTACCCAGACCGATAATATGGTTCAGTCTTTTGATCTTGAGCATTTTGAACACAGAGATTCATATTTTTCTCAGCGTCTACATTATTGTTCTTGGCAACATCACCAAAGGTACGATGTAGGAACTCAGATGCTTTAGTATTTGGCCTAGTAGAATCGGCCTCAATGGCATTACGGCACTGAAGAATAGTCTCTTTCAAACACTTAGTAGATACGCTTAGATAATCATTGTCATTTGGAGATCGAATCCTAGTAGGTAAACTACTTTCTACTGTACATTCTGTCTGATCTGCTTCCTAAAATCCAAATAATTTGTTTTAAAAATATTATGTTTTTAATAAAAAAAAATACTGATCAAATTATGATTAAAATAATTAATAAAAATAAAATTATTTAAATAAAAGTAAAAGATAATGTACTTATTAAATATAAATTATAGGCTATAAAGTTATAGAATCCAATATTTAAATAAATATAACACATCCATTAAATGAACACATGCTGTTGAATACCCTAAGTAACTAAGTAAAAGTAACCAACTTATAAAAACCTTAAACCACAAAAATAAGCACTATAAACAGCAATAAAAATTCAAAAATATGTAAAATCAAAATAAAAAAAATAAAATCATTGTGAATAATCACCATAGTACATAGTTAATATGATGAATCTAATTATATTGCAGTATGATGCTGTTAAAACAATTTTGAAAATAACCAAATCATTGGAAATCAACAGAATTGTGTGATGTAATGGACAATAACTAATTAAGACTGCTTTTTCAAATGAGTTTAGTTGTACTAATTGAAAAACGTTAGTTTTTGTTAGCATATTAATTGTGAAAGGCTGTTATTAAAGATTACACATCTACTTTACCAAAGTTAATTTGTTTTTTCGAACAATAAATGTTTATTTCCTTTTTTTACGTTATTATACAGAAATAAACTTAAAACTCTAAATTAGCAAAATAATTATAAATTCTAAATATGAAAAAATAGGGGAAAAAATGTTGTATATGATATCAGTGAAGTATGAAACAAATTTGAGTCTTACTGAGAATTTTCTAGGTATCACCAAAAAGAATATGTAAATGCTAATACTTTCAAGCTTTGCTTGTTATATATAATAGATAGGATAAAAGTAAGTTTCTTTTTGTGGACTTAATTGTGTTATTATTTTAACTGTATAATAACGGAACATGAATAATTTACAACACATCATATTACGTTTTAAAGGTAATTTTTAAAGTCTATAGTAGGTGTATAGACTAAACATTAAATATAATATTATGTTAAATCAACTAACTGAATTATGATGAAAAGTATAAAATTGCTCTTACATTATATTTAGTTTCTTGTATTCTATAATAAGGTATTTTAAAATAAAACTTATTAATTATTATATCAACTAGTTCTTACCATTTCGGCTTTTTCTAAAAATCTCTTTTTTGGGGGATAATATTTAGTTTCACAAACTGTATCTTCTGCTTCGTATTGCATATCAGACCACGAAGATGTATCCTTAAGATAAGTTCCTTTATACTGTAACAAAAATTATATTAAATAAATTAAAAGATAAAAAACAATTTCAATCCATTTAAATTTACTAATAAAATGTTTGAAAATATTTAAACTACACCTATTAGATTTATTACACACAAATTATGTTTTGTTTGATGAAAATTAAATTAGAACTAGACCTCAATTATAAGTAATAAATAAAATTAATTAAAAATATTCTAACAAATTTCTTTAATAAGTTTACTATCTCACACAAAGAATGTACAATTAAAAAATAATTTGTAAATCATATCTCAATAATAGTTTCTTATCTAGTACATTAAAGAAACTAATACCAAATCCAAAATGAAATCAGAAACAACAAATATTCATGGAATATAATATAAATATTAAATATATTGAGTTATTTTATTAATATCTTTATATTTAGTCTTATTTACTAACCAGACTAAATTCTCCAGATTTAGGTCTTATAGGGCATGGGCATATCTGTATTTATTTATTTATATTAACCTGTAGATATCTATCAGACGTTATATTCAAAAACCAGCTGCCTACTTCCATTACCCTCCCTTCATTGGCAAAAAAACTATAGGAAATAGAGAATTTTTTTTTTCCCCCTAGGAATAGCCAATTGAAAGCCAACATATTAAACAGGGTTAGCACAACCATGCGGTAATAACACAACAGAGATGACAAAATTTAATTTTTTTAAAATCTTTGACACTCCTTTTAGGGGTGGTATTAACTAACTTGAATAATTATAAAATTTAAAACCCAGCCATTGTTTTTAAATATGTCATTTTTGTAGCAAAAATATGGTTTTAACAAAAAATGTTCATGTATATGTCTACTTAAATATTTTCCTTTAAACATTTTTTTTTAGTCTGATTTGTTATTTTTTCCTATACTTAATTATAGTTTAATTATTAATTATTATTATGGTTTGAGCCCTAATTGAGTATAATATCTCCTTACCAAACTGTAAAAACCTAAATTTTAAATGTTTGCATACATGCTATTCAAAAGATATATAAGTATATGTAAATTGTTTCGGGGAAAATAGTTTGAAATTGAATACAATAATAATTTACACAAAAATATTATTATATATAAATATTGATATATTAAGAAATTCTGTTCCATGATATCACAGAGTACTAAGAAAGATTTTTCCAAAATTCAACAACTAAAAGGATTAAAAAGTGTAAAAGGGGGTAAATATAAAAATATAGAATGCTATTTCTCAAAGGTATACTATCCCTAAGTAATCTAAGCTATATTTTATCTCAACATTTCTCTGATTAAGGTCATCTCAAACATAACGCTTTGTCTTTGAAATACAAGAAATATAACTTTCGGTTAATTTCTGATTGGTTAGGTTAGGTTGTTACAATACACGTGCAATGCGGGCTCAAGACATCTAGAGTTAATATAAATATGAATAAAAAATAAATAGCCATAACTTCCTGTGAATAACAACCAAAGTAATTTTAGCCAGTTCCCAGATTTTACAATAGACGGTAAGCAAGATGGTAAGTCATTTAAAAATAGTGAAAACGAGAACAAAATCGTAGGCAACTATTATTATAATACAAAGTTATTTAGTTTTTTTAAATTATTACTTTTACAAACATGCTACCTCTCACACAAATAAAACATTTTTATCAAAATTGAAATAAACTTATTATAATGTTGCATTATAGACAAATTAAATTTTAGTTATGAAATTATTAAACAAAAATATATACAATTAATAGAGTATATAAAATTACAATCAATTATAATTTTCTTTAGTTTCTACATATTATATTACAAATATAAACTCTGGTAAGTTCTTATCAATTTTTAAACAAATTAAATGATACCAATATTGTGCAATTCCACATTGTACACCCATTCAACATTATTATACAATATCAATGGATCATTGCAATAATTATCTATATTTCCTATAGTTTTTCCGCATCAGAGAGAGTGTAATGGGAGTAGTATAGTGGATTTTGATTATAATATTCAATATGAGTCTTTTATATCATAATTTAGTCCAAATGTCCATATATAATAATTTTTAAGTATAATAATTGTATTACATTTTCCAATTTATACAATAAATATCTCAATTAATATAATTATATATATTATATTATTATATTTATTAGTATTTGTACAAATATAAAAATTATTAATCTATACAATTATATTGATATACAAAATCTGCTGTAGTTTTTTTTTTTATTATTATTATTATTACCAACAGAGTTAACAAATTTTAAATAATAAATTTATTAAATCTTCTTACCGTTAATTTGAGTTCAATATTTGGCGGTGTACTATTCGGCCAGCTACCGCTTGGCAACTTAAATGATTCATTATCCATTATTGAACTGCTACGTTGACTGGAGAGCATTTGAGCTTTAGTGGATCTATATCTTTGGAAAGCACTGTTTTGACTATTTATATACGATTCTTCAATACCAACATTAACTCTCATGATACTAGATACTTCTAATTACTATTTATACAATGGATCAGTATACAAAATGTGTAATTCTTTGTCATAATCCAACCTGAAACATTACCATAAAAAGGTTATTTAAAAAATAATTACCAATATAAAAGTAAACAAAAAAAAAAAAAAAAAAAACAATTATTAAAATTACAACTATTTAGGTACATAATTTTATTTAAATGTTTAGAACGTATAAGACGATTACAAAGGTTATATTTCAAAAAATTATAATTAATACACAATTATTATATAACCTACTTCAATCATAATAGCAAATCATATTATACATTCAATTATAATATTTATATGGTTAATGTATATAGGTTTATATACATATAAATGATATTAAACAATATCTAATATTGATTATATAGGTATTAATGTAAATAATAAAGATTTTCAAGGCTTTGTTAAAAATAAACAAATTACATTTTAAATAACCTAGCAAATATAGGTACCTAAATTATATTAAATTAAAAAAGTTCTACATATTTAATTTATTTATAGGTACTTTGACGTTGTTATTAGCGATAAGATTATACTCAGTTTAAGAATATATCAAACCCCACAATAAGATAGTAAAATATCTATTTTGTATTTGTTGAAAACGCAATATTTAACATCCATGTGCAGAGGTATTATGAATCTTACCTAATTTTCAAATTTATCAGCAAAAATTATCTTGAATAATCATATTTAAGTTATATGCGATTTGTAGATGACAAAAATGTAATGATCGTAATATCCTTGTTCATCATAGAATACATCCATCTTAGGTAATTTACCCACTCTCAGAATAATATCAGCTAAAGTTCATTGCTACAAGTAAAGGTATACGTAAGTTAAAGCTATCCATTTTTAAAAAATTTAAGTATACTTATACAATAGGTAATTAAAAGAAATGAAATATTTTTGAATCAAAATGAATAAATAAAATCTCAACCATAATGGATATCAACCCAAATTATATTTAAATTTTAAATTAAAAAAGCTTCTTCCTAATTCCTGGAAATTCAAAAAATAGATTTAATCGAGTATTAGGTGTATAATTGTAAATTATTTATTTGGAACTCCTAGAAAAAAAGTATAAAAAATGCTTAAACTTGTTTTCTCAGTTGCGATTCTGGCTTCGTTAACACTTGTTGAAATATGCTGTAAATTTTATTTCGAGTCAAGAGTTTCTGACACAATCATCGAATTTCACTTTATATTTTAGGTAATATGGTTTCAAAAGCCTATTATTTAGCTGAGCGCGACCCATTTTTTTTTTCGACACCACATTCCACTCCAAATTTTCTGTTCGATTCTGAAAATAACGATACAGGCAATATAGGTAAATTTCAAAAACATGTACCTAAAAGTTTCCTAAAACAAAAAAAAAAAAAACAAAAAAACAATTTAATCCAATTTTTTTAATATAGGTGTAAGCGCCTAAATTTGAACGATACAAATATTAATGATACCTATATAGCTCACAAAATTCAATATAGTGGATACCAAATTTTAGAAATAGAAGGAGAGAGGTGTTTACCTTCAGGAAATATTAACTTTCTCGTTATTGTAATTAGTTTCGTATTATATTTTAATTGGTTTCATACGTCTAATGTACAGCGTACACGGGTAGCCAAAAAAATGTCCTAGCGTACGACTTCAAACAAATAATAGTTCCAGAGGAAAAACGAAAAAAAATCCAATACCTGCCTAATAACAATAATATTACAATATCAATACACAACCTCCCAGCATACGACGAGAAAAAACATTTACAAAAAAAAAAAAACAATCACTTATTAGGCGGCGGCGGCGTGTCCACGGCAGAATATAATAAAACGTGTAACAATTAACGTCGGGCTACGAGACTATTTTAAAACTAGTAATGTAACCAACGTCCGTGAGTGTGTCAACCTTGAACACTCGTTTTGTGTGCGTTTAAACTTGAAACTTATGTAATTATTAGAAATTAACCCGACACGAAAACGACGGCGTTGAATCCACTCGACGAGATAATAAAATAATATTACGTTATTGGGTATTTATATAGGTATACCGGAACGCACGACAAACGGGACGTTTTTCAACAGGCGGGTTATTATTGTGCGACCGAATAATAATAAAAAAAAAAAAAAAAAACCGCCAAAACGTACGCACTGTTATAATTAAGTGTATCCGCTTAAACGATTAAATTCATAAGCGCCCTATTACTGAAATAATCGGTAGCCTACAACAGGTGTGATGCGTCGCTGCGGTATAAACCGATGATAATACGGTACCTAACGGTCGTTATAAATTAGGTACCCGGCGCGTCCGGAAATCGGGATACGGAAATATCGTGGGTACGCGCGGTACAATATTATTAATAATACGTCGCCGTACACTCTACCCGTTTATTGCGCGTAATATAACAACGATAAAGCGAATTATCGTCGTACATATTGCGTACATTTTTTCTATTACAACAATATCGGCGTCGGGAGGAATACCGATGGAAGAACCGAACAACAAACGTAATACGTGACAACGTGATCGAAACAACAACAATATCGTCACACGGATGCCGACCGCTCTACTATAATTTCATTACGATTTTATAATATTACATCCGTAATAAAGGTACGACGTCTAGCCGAAATATGTTATGACGGCTTATTCACTTATTCTCTTACCGTTCCGTGATGAGGGAGACGCGGACGACGGGGGAGACGACGACGATCGTTATTGGCAGCCATCGACGACACGATGTGAAATGTACGAGCGCGTATTACCGAGTACCAGACGGCGAACGCGAGTGGAAGTAAACGACGGGGAAAAAGAAAAACCACGAAAAAACCGGAATGCGAAAAACGAAAATCGGTTAAACGGCACTTCGCCGACGTCGTCGCCGCGTAGTAAGAACACCGTAAACCGTCGGCGCCGGAGTGGAAGTGGAACGTTCGCACGCGCACATAATATAATACAGAGCCCCACGCACACACGCGCGCGCGCCAGATCGCGATCCACCACTCGTGTGTCTCGGACGCGTATACGACGCCGCGACGCGCACACGCACGGGAACGCAGGCGCGCGCCCGCGCACTGACGCACACACTCGCACGCATGCGACACAGAAACGATTACGGGGTTTTACACGCGAAAAATTTGTTTGATTAATGTCAAGTACAAGATTACAACTCGGACGGCCCTGAACTAGGCATATATTATGTATTATCGTGTATCGGGTGTATACGATATTATTGTACGACGCGACGTGTATCGGCGACGAAATTTCGGTAACGGGGGCGAAGCGCGGCGCCCCGGGGACGTATAGTAACGGGTAACGCGGGCAGACCGCGCGCGCATAGTTGTACGTGGGAATTTCCAAAAATAAATAAATAAAAATAAAAATGCGTTTCGAATATAGGCCGTGCGGCGAAGATAAAAAAAAAAAAAAAAACGTAAAAACCGATATTTTACTATTTATTACTACTACTACTACAGAGTGGGGAGGGGAGGGAGAGAGATTAATGAGCGGAGCGGGGAGGGGACGGAGGGGATACACGATATTATACTATAGTATCATAGTCACAGTGTCGTATCGTAGAAAACGAAACGCCGAAGTGAAATAATAATATAATAGGTGGTAATGCGGAGAGAAAAAAAAAAGTGGAACATTATTGCACCATTATTATTATACTTATATCATAACCACGATCCTGACCCACTTACCTCCGGGCGCATGCCGACGACGTCCTTACGTGTGCGCGGATATCGGTGCTGCCGCCACCGAGTATCTGTCTGTGTATATATAGAGATATATACGTGTGTGTGTGTGAGCGTGCAATGGTATGCGGCGCGAAATACGAATTCCGTGCGATTTTCGAAAGCTCGGTAGAAAAAAAAAAAAAAACGGTCGTTTTCAACGTGTGTATCGCTCTGCACCCGTCACTATCCTGCGCAACACAAAATTTGAATTTATATAAATACCGTTTGTCCCGTTTACGACGAATCAATTACCGGCGGTGAACGGTTATATATTTTACATATATAAAAATATGGGTACTATATGTTTATTATAAAAAAAAAAAATTTTTTTCAAAACTTCAAACGCCGACAATTCAATTCGGCAACGACGGGTCGTTCGAACGGACGTTAAACGTATACCGGCTGCACAGTACAATAATACAATAATAATATTATAACAATGGTTAATTATACGTGTATTGATTGAAAATCTAAACGATCGTCGATATTGCACGATAATAAAAAAAAAAAAAAAAAAAAAAAAATATATATATAACAATAATACAAATTGGTAACGACGAGTGATAATTCGACGGCGATTCGAATGACACGGTAATGACAATCGTGATTGCGTTCGAGGGTCGACCGGCGCGCGACGGAGAGGCACAAACCGGACAGAACAGCAGCTGATACACGAACTCGAACGCGGAATCGACGTCCTAGTCGCAGGCAGCACTAACGAGAACGATAGCGACGCGGTGAAACCGAAACGCTGCGGCGGCGGTGGTCGGTGTGCCGCCGTGTTGCTAGAAACGCGTGTGTGCATGTGGGGGATAACCGAACGGCGGCGGCGGTAGCACGCACGGGGACTCGGCGTCTCGCAGCGTCCGGCTCGTGACGTCACGGGTCCGTCAGCTGTTCCAGGCCAATGGGTGACAGTGGCGGCTGAAGTACGTTCTTCCCCCCCCGCGCCCAACCCCCGTCCCGCCATAGGCCAACAACCCGGTATGGTTTCGCGGTAATCCACACGCGCGGCACCGTACCTGCTGCTGCTGCTGTTGGCCCTCCGGTATAAATGGTAACCGCATGCGGCAGCGGCGGTACCAACGGCATCGGCGACCGACTACTACAGTTTAGTATATTAGTGGTATCTGTGTATTTATGGCCCCGCGTGTGTGTGACGATGACGACGATTACGATTATTGTAACCGTAGGTACGTGATGTATAACACGCGCGCGGTCCGGGCGTAGCGTCCGCCGCGCCGTACATGATCGATACGGAGCGATGCCCTCCCCCAAAAGCATAATGCAGCAGCGGCACGCGGACACCGATGTTTTTAAAACGATATTTAAAAATAATAAATTAGACATACGCGGCGGATGTGGCAATAATAAATTGTCGTATCCACAGCGCTCGTTGTAAAACCAACACGGAGAGAGAGAAAAAGAAGACCGTATACTCGCCATACTCGCGTTGTTATTATTATAATAAATATTTTACCGTTGTCGTTCGGTATCGCAAACGTTTGGCGGGCGCGCGTCTTTGTTTTATTGTTGTCCGCGCGCGCGTTCTTTGTGCTCTTTATCTCGCGCCACCGGCTCTTGTTCGGCCGCACTATCCGCAACGATAAATAAATTAATGCCCGTTTTCAATTATTTGTCTTCCTCGCAATAGTTCGTTATTGGACCGATTATATTATTCTATCACAATATTATCTTATCGTTATTAGAGGTCGGACGCCCGGTCGCCAGATGTTTGCGATCGTAAAATTTATCGTATCGGACGGAATACGACGCGATAGCGACGTTCATATTGACAAATTAACGAACGTCACTACTCACTACAGCGCGGTTGTAGGGGAAAAAAAAAACCTCCGTGTATACTATTATTTTAATAATATTACTATCGTGTACCTCTCCTCGTCGACGACCTCGTTTCGTATCGCACGTTTCTCGGGCTTTTAATTTACGGTCGATTTTCGCCTTACCATTTCCGTCGGTATGGATTAAGTGTAATCTAAATCTCTTTGCGGCATATAATATTAATCGATATTTTCCCCTATCCCGGCGCCGCTCGTATTTGTTCGTTTCCCTCCCCATTCAAAAACGTCCCGGTTTTATAGCATTATACATACGAGGGTCTATTATTAGAGGAACGTAACATCCAAATTATATACTTTGATTGTTAGCTTATAATATTCGACTTTTAAAGTAGTTTTTTGTAGTAGAACGACGTATCTCCAATGATACTGGATACACATCATTTATTTACATTAAACGTATCAACAATAACAAAAAAGTATTAATATTAAACATGCGTATTATATTTTACGTCGGTTTAATGTTTTAATTTAGGAATTAGTTGATACTAGACTATATAATATCTATATATATATATATAAATTTTTTTTTGTCATTTCCGATCGTCCGGACTCGATATATTTCAAGATTAGACAAGAACTTGTAAAACTTAAAATATGCATATGTTACTCGTAATAATAATAATATAAAATATGGGAAAATCTTTTATAATTGGAGGAATGCACGTGAAAAAAGTGTCAAGTCACTATATATTGTGAAAATTAGTTATTTACCGGAAAAATCTTTATTTTTCGTGTAGGATATTATTTTTCCAATAACAAGTATGTTATTTTAATGTGCGTTTTAGGTTGTCATGATTATTCCGTTTTTCATACATTTTAAACCATAGCTATATAGTACAGTGACTTAAACTCTAATGCACTTTCCAAATGGGTAAGAAAAGTTAACTTACCCAATAATATTAATATGTTTCCTGAATATTTAAGTAAGAGACACAAATTTACATTTACACAATTAAAGTTAGGCTTGTAGATCCACCACAATAACATGCAACTATGCAATTTATACAGATATGTACTTAAATAATATTATCTAATACATGATTACATTTCTAAATTTAAAATATGTTAGTGATTAAAACAACTGGATTACAATTGTATACAAATATCGAATGTTCTGTTCATTTTTATAATCATACCTCCTGGTTAAATACAATTAAATAGTATACATTACTTGATCATCTTGATAATACGATTGCATGTTGTAATATAACAGGAAATATGATCAAATATAATATAAATACTAAAATCCAATTTGTTTTATTAAAGGCAATGAAATATTTCACTATAATATGGACAAAAATGATAAAACATATATACAATGAGCATTAAAGATGCAATAGCATAATTTGGAAAAAGTCTCGGGAGAGGGAGATGGAAAATGTTTAAAAACTGTATATATATATATATTAACTTATTAGCTCAAACTTATTTTCGGGGGGACGGAGTCCTATTCCTTATAGCGACTTACGATGTTATAAAATGCATGCAAAATTTTAACTTTGAAGCAAAAAAAAAAAAAAATTAATAATTTATGTAAAAATAACAAATTTGTTAACATAAAAAAACCGTGAAGGTCCGTTCTTTAATAAGGGGATGATTAAAAACTGATGCAAAATTTGAACTCAGTAACATCACAAATATAGATAATTTATTTTTGTATACAGCTGTCTGAGTTAAAATTTACGAGTTATTAATTATTACAACCTAATTTTACGATTCAGACCACTGTATATCGTATTGACGAGAATTTAATTTATTGACCAACATCGGCAATATCTACTTGATTTTTAGTGTACTAAATTGTCACGTGTATAATAAGTCATTAACAGTGGTTGCACCAGAATTTTTTCTTAGGGAGGGTTAACTGAAGGCTATCTAATTTTTGGAAGGCCTGAAAGAAATATAAATTTTATAACTATAGATATACAATTATAAAAAAAAAAGAGCTAATACTGGGGATGGGAACGATCACTGTGGTCGGTGAGAAGTTGGGAAGGTAGGATACATAAGGCTATATCATTTATACCTGTAAGCAATAATGAACTATTGCTTGACGAAAGACAATCCGAGCACAGTTCAGTAATACATAATTTAAAGTATCGTATTTTTTTTTTTTTTTTTTGCGATTTTCGTTTAAATTTGATTTCAAAACGCTTATTAGAAAAAAAAATTCGTTCGATAATTTTGGAAATTTTACCACGTCTAGGTAAGTTCAATATAAGTATTACAACCAAATTTTAAATCTCTACGTGAATTTATAACCGAATTACAGTTAAAACACTCCCAAAAATTAAAATTCCTTAAAAGCTCAAAAGTGGCTCAAAAGTTTTAAAAGGCAAAAAAGAGGTGTTTTACGATTTTTTAATTAAATTATTTTTTCTGGTAGTAAACGTTGTCCGTGTTTTTATAGAATAATGAAATCGTGAAATTGTACGTTTTCCTACGTTTTTCCCCACTTGAGTGTTTTTATTTAAAAAATGGCGTCAAAAATCAAAAAGTGACCTGTTAATAGTACCATCTAGACAACTCGAGGTTTCAGAAAAAGTGCTACACGTAAAAATCGGAGCAAGTTTACTAGGAAAAAACGTGTCCACAGTCTAGAAGAAAGAAAGAAAGAATAAAAAAATAAACATCTTAGTAAAACCAATAGCCCCTCGCTATGCTCGGAATCTAAAATAGTGTGAAATATAGGATTAAACCAGATTTAATAATTCTTCTGGTAATAGAAAACATTCACAATTATCGATAATACCTACTGAATTATAGCTTAACACCAGTGCCTATAAATAGTATTGGTCTTAAATGCAGTAACTTAATGTACAAATAGTCAAATTACATTTACTTTAAAAAGCAATTATTACTGAATTTTATATGTAAGTAATAATAGAATTTTATTCACAGGTGACGATTCTGGACCTCAACTATTTGAGGTACACTACCATCTGTTCAGTTTCCAATCAATAAATAGGTATCATCTGTAAAATAAATACACAGTGCAGGTGCATATTATTTATACTCGATTAGAATTATTTTTCTATTTTGAAAACTTTTTTCGAAGGCAAAAATGTATTTGACTATACACATTTTCTATCGGTCGAGAATTGAATAAAAAAATGTCAAATACAATAAATTATTATTTGCGTGTATGTAAGTATACGGTTCGTAAATTTAATTAACTGCACGAATTTGCCCGCATCTCTCGTGACCTACTTTTCATGTTATATTAACGTTCACGGTGTATTATTTTATTAATTTATATTTACTCAAAGTACTCTGAGAGTAGTACATATATCAACATTAAAAAAAAAAATTATTATAAAAAGGGGGAAAAGTATAATACTTATGTACAACGCTATTTCATGTATAATATAATATAATAAACGATATAACATTTTAATCGAGTTTTACAAAAATATGCATAAATTGGCGAGTAGGTTACAGTGATGTATTTAGGATTGTGTAAACTTTTATAGAAATAAGAGGTTAGGATTTAAGGAGAATTCTAGGATTTTACACTCTTAAATGTTTCTAACATACCTAGTGACATAGGTAGTGTGAACATTTTTTTTTTATATAACACATCTGTTTAAATAGTAAAATAATGTAAAATGTGTGTGTATAGTTCACTAAGACGGTGTGGATTCATTTCGGTAATAGAACTATACGGTATTGATTTATGTAAGTGTTAGTTAGGTAACTACTTACATATTATGATATGCGCGGACTAAGGACTTCCAACGTATATTTTCCAATAGTATAGAATTATATTAGATATTTTATTATAATAAATATACCGCGGTTGTATTAAAATAACTCGTGGAACATTATACAACGCATGATAGAAAAGCTAATTGTCTGCAACATATGTATATACCTAGTACCTACTACACGCGCAGCATGTGTCGCAGCCGGGATTTGTTTAATGGGCTTGTCTGATGGTACCTATATAGACTGTGCGACCCACT